TTGCATCATACAGGATCGCAAACCGAGAACCCAGTCGTCATACCCGAGGAGCCCGAGGAGCAGTTCGAGGTGCAGCCGCAGAAGTGCCAGAAGCCGACGAGGAGGACGTTGAGGAACTTCCGGAGTGCCCCGATCACCGTCCGAGCTCCTTCGAGAGAGGCAAGCCCCGGAGCATCTTTCTTCCAGTTTGCAATGATTTAATTAAATGCTTTACTTTAAATTGATGCATTACGTTCAGGAGTTGTTTGCAACCGTTGCTGCATTATACCTTGTTTACCTTTGTTATACTATATCCTTGTTACCCTGGTATCCGCAGTCGAGTCAATGCTTAGCTGGCTTAGACCGGTAGAAGTCGGGTGATTTTCTGTCACCTGCGAGCTATAGGTGGTTACCTGGATCTGCTTGGATGACTATGAAGTCATGGTATAACTAAGTGTTAAATAAAGTTGAGACCGAACGGAGACTTGCAGAGTTTTGGACTGTAGTGTTTCCGTCTGTGTCGATTAAGGACCGACCGTTGTTGGGCCTTGAGTCATGTTGAACGCATGCCTTACATTTAGCTGGCCGGATAAAGTACCTTCCGACCGCGAAGCTGGGAGATTTTTCGGGCCGAGTAGATTGCCCGCAGCGCACTGTGCCGAAGCAGGTGTAGTAGGACACGGGGGCGGGATGATAAGACCAAAGTGCAGTCGGTCGGCCCTCGGGTACATGTGGTTCCTGGCAAACTCGAGATACCTAGAAAGTTGACTCAGTAATCAATATCTCACTTTAGCGGGTGAGTGAGGTTTGTGTAAGGAATAAATCAACAGCTGGTTAGAAATCGATTCGAATCGCCATCGCTCCTGGATAGTGAGCACTTGACTTGAGTTACTTCATCGTAGTAAATGTTTATGGAACACTTGGACAGTTATAGTGAATATGATAGTATGGAAGTTGTTTAATGATCAGTGGTTATCATTATTTGCTTAATCACATGTTTACTCTAGTATAGGTGCAAATCTAGTCGATAGGTTAATAATAATTAACTTGACAATAATGCTTTTAAAAAGGTTCTTGAAATGCTAAAAATGCTTCTTTTGCAAATGAGTCAGCTACCCTACTATAAAGCCTTCATAATCCTTGGTGTCATTTATTTTCGGTTATGTCGGGTAAGTCTAGCTGAGTACCTTCTCGTACTTAGGGTTTTATTCCCACTTGTTGTAGATGGGCAGATGTATTACGGCTATTGTATCAACTGCCTTTATCCTGCGATGGGTGATGCTTAGGACCATGGGCATGGTCATTCCTTACGTCTCGTCTAATGCTTTTGTTGGAGATGATCATTCGCTGGCACTATATTTGAACTCCGCGTGAGTGTGTGTGGTTTGAACAAATGGCTTCCGCTACTTTTATTCGAACTGGTTTTGTAATAACTATGTTTAAACTCTGATGTATCTGAGATTGCGAACTTTTATGTAATATGTGATGGTGACCGCTAAACTTATTACGATCTTGGCTGGAATGGAAGTTGGTTTGAAATCCTTCGTGATTTCACGGACTACCGGGTTATACGGACTTAAGTTTGCTCAATCGTCTGCTCTGGCGGATGATTTTCTTACTTAATTTCGTATAATTGGTCGGTTCTGTTACAGCGCCCACCGCCGCCTCGGGAGGGAAGGGAAGAAAGAGAGGAAGGGGAGGGAGAAACGGAGGTGAGAGGCAGGTGAGGGAGGGCGGAGGACGAGGAAGGTGGCCGCAGCCAGAGCGCCCGGCCGCGCCGCCATCGCCGTGTCCTCATCGGGATGGAGAGGGAGAGACCGATGGGGAGAGAGAGAGGGGAGGGGGAGAGAAGAAGAATCTGGATGGAAGGAGAAGCGGAAGCTGAGTATATATTTGTTTCTCTAGATTCGGACGAGAAGCCAGAGAAGCCGTAGACAAGCAAGGAAAAACAAGAAACCAGAAAGAACAACGAGAAGCTGCTCCGAACCAGAATCGGCTCCAAACGATCTGGGCCGTTGGGTTGAAGATCCGATGGATGAGGCAAATTGGAGCGACGTGGACGCATGTTCCACGCTGGAAGCTGGCGGGGCAATTAAGGAGAAGCTGGCGGGGCAATTCTCCTACAACTAAAAAGAACAAAGTGTGGATATTTTTTGGTGCGACATTTGTTTTGGTTCGTCTATCTGCCCACGCCTGCGATCCCGGATTGATCGTGTCATTCTCCTTGATTGAATATTGCCTGTCATATGATAGAGAAATCACGGCAAAATAGGAAGTAGAAAATTATTATGCTATCCATATACACATTGCATGTTTGCATGCACCAGCATACATGGCAACGAGCAAAAGGAAAGAGAATTAACACAGAAGGAAAGATAATTAAGACAAAAGGAACCTCTTTATATTTCTAAGAACCTTGCCAAATCAGCCTATATTTAATTACTTCCCCTCTTTGTATTTATAAAAGAGACAGTTTTTTTCTCCTTTCATTTGATTTCACGCTCACGTGTTCCATCGCCCTCACTTATTGTTTCTTCCGTGAACCATAGTTGATGTCATCTGTCTTCCATGGCTCAGCCTCCCAATCCCAAGAGAAGGTCCCTGCCTCTCCCTGACTGGAGATCCGGCCTGCCAGAAGATCTCCTCGAGTCCATCGGGCAACGTCTCGCGTCAGGCCACGACGCGGCGTCCTTCCGATCCGCTTGCTCCCCATGGCGCGCCACCGTCCCGTTCGCGGCCTTCAGGCCGCTCCTGCTGCTCCCGTTCGACCCCGACTCGGACCACGTCGGCTTCTACTGCGTCCCGGAGAAGAAGGTCTTGTCCAAGACGCTACCCGACGTGCGCGGCAAGGTGGCGTGCGGCTCCTCGTGTGGGTGGCTGGCGCTCGTGGACGAGGCGGCGTCCGTGACGCTGCTGAATCCATTCGCCGGTGTCCGTGCCCCCCGCGTTGAGCTCCCGCCAGCAGGCGAACACGTCGTGGCGGCGTCCTCATCGGAACGCGTGTCTAGGGTCCACGGCCGGTGGATCCTCTATCCCACCAACGGCTATGGGGACGCGGATGACGCAGACGGAGCCATCAAGCTAGAAGACATGAGGGACGTGTTCTTCCGTGAGATCGTGCTCTCGGCGCCGCCTGACGCCACCGGCCGCGAGCGCGTGGCCATAGCCATGCTTGGGTGCTCCACGGAGGTCGCATTCTGCCGGGTTGGAGTCAACAGCGCATGGACGGTGCTCGACACCAAACTGGAGTTCTCCGTGGGGTCCATCGTCCACTGCCAAGATAAGTTCTTGGCGATTAACTGCACTGGAGAAATCTCCGTCTGCAGCAGCAACGCCGCCAGCGCTACTCCAACCGCCGACGCTGCTGCCATCGCTGTCGCCACCTGCAGGGCTCTGCCACCGCAGCTACCTGAAATCAAACGGTGAGCTGCACATTGTGGGTGCCATGGTGAGCACGTTCCACGAGACACAGAGCTTCAACTACAGCAGCGCGATCTACAAGTGCAACCTCCACGACCATACGCCGGAGTGGTCCAGGGTGAGGGACATCAGTGATCAGACATTGTTCGTGTCTAAACATTTCAATAAAAGCTTCCGTGGAACAAGTGTATCCAAGTACAAGGAGAACAAAATCTACATGTCTGAGCCATTGTATGGGGATCATACGATTTGGTCCATCGACTGGAGATCGTTGATATTGCTATCGGCGTATCCGAAGTGAAGCCCGTCCAGAAAAAGATGCAGGGTTCCCAGGCTCTAGGTTGGATTCGACCCAATCTCTGTAAGCTCTAGAGTATGTGAGCCTGCGACGCCGCGCACTCCGTGACTCTGTTAAATTTATAAACTTTGCTTTTTTGGATTAAATGTCACTTTAACATTGGTATTTAATTTAATAGTATTATTATCTTATCCTGCGATCCATATGTTTTTAGTATAAATTATTAATTATTCACTAGCCACGCACAAACACGCTAGCTAGTAAGGGAAGAAAAGTACGGATGCAAGCAGGCGCAGGATTGCCTGCGACCTGCTAGGCCCGCCTGCAAGAGCGGCCGAAGCAGACCCATGCGGACACCTGCTCATCTATGAGGGGATTAAACAGGCCAGCCTGCTGGGCTTGAGTGGGAGCCCGCATATCCTGCATATCACCCGCATCAGGAAGAAGTCGGAGACAAGAGCGGCCCCGTTGATCCGACGCAACTTGCGCTGCAGCGACGACGAGCACGGAGGCCAGGGTGGATGCGCGCCCTGCTGTTTCCTGTGTGTTTTGCATGTCTAATCTTGCAGTTAGCGCAGAACTATCAATGCTCTGATTGTTAATCACGGACCAACTGTACTGGGGCTGGCCGGCTTCAATGACGGAAAAGCACGTGTGTTCGCGTCTGATAAAACGCTTGGGCGAAGTTTGCAGACCAAGTAAAATAGTACTAGCATGCATTGCCATCCGAAAACGCTTTGGAAGTTTGGATGCGTGTTGAACACTTGAACTGTCCGTCTTGCATGCGGGCTTTGGCAGACGCTTGCAGGTCTCCCGCAAAGCCAAGCAGGACCTGGCTGCTAGCTGAGCAGGAGCTAGCGGGCTCTGCAGACCAACGAATTTTTGCATGCAGACGATGCGGCGGCCTGCGGGCTACCTGCAGGCGGGCCCGCTTGCATCCTTAGAGAAAAGGCGTCAACTATTCCTCTTCTGTTGGGCCTAGACTTGTACTTTACTTGTTACGCGGCCCATTAGGCCCCACCACGTCCTGCGTCGCCGTTGCTCGCGCAGCGGCGCAGGCAAATATCGTCGTTTTCCTCGCGGAGGGCGATTTGCAAAAATCACTCAAAACATAGATTTGACACTCGCCATGTTGTTCATAGAGCCCATTTGTCATTCAGTCATCGTAATCCCGAGTCAATCTTTGCACTGTCATTTTTTTCCCTCGGGAAACGCCGCGCCGCCGTTGCCGCCGCCTTGTAGCCTCCAGCCCTCGATTGCCACCCGCCCTCCGCTTGTGCTGCTGAGCGGGTCGCTGAAGAGAATGGGGAGGGGGAAGAAGTCGAAGGAGAAGGACATGGAGGAGAAACCGCTGGACATCCTCGCGGGGTCCGACGAGGACTCCGACGGCGGGGAGGACCTCTCTAAGATCCATATCAACGCGGAGTACGCTCGCCGCTTCGAGCACAACAAGCGCCTCGAGGAGCGCAGGAAGCAGGGCCTGGTCCCCGCCTCTGACGACGGCGAGTCAGAGTCGGAGTCCGAGTCTTCGGAGGAGGAGGACGAGGAAGCCGCCATTGCCTCGCGCCTCGTCGATCGTCGCGTGTTCGAGGTGATCCGCCGCATCCGCAGCGGCGACCCCCGCATCCTTGACAAGGACGCCGAGGTCTACTCGGAGGACGAGGATGAGGAGGGCGGTGAGGAAGCTGAGGACGCCGAGAAGGAAGAAGAGTCCAAGCAGGAGAAGAAAAAGACAAAGAGAGAGAAGCCTATGTACCTCAAGGACGTCAATGCCCGCCACCTACTCGAGGAGGGCCCAGAGTTCGCAGGGCAGGCCAGCCGGAGCAGCAGCAAGTTCGAGAGGATCGCCTATGACGAGCAACAGAAGAAGGGATTGAAGGTTTTCCTTGAGGCACAGAAACAAGTATTAGGCGATGACGACGGCGACGACGATTTGTTCAAGGTGAAGCCCAAGGCTAGAGCAGGGGCTGATGACGAAGCGGACGAGGATGAGGAGGAGAAGCAGACCAAGGAGCTTGCTGGTGAGGTCTTTGGGAAGGATGAGGAGCTGGATGAGAACGAGAAGTTCTTGAAGGAATTTTTCCTTAAGAGGCCGTACCTTGAGGCAGAGAAGAGGAATTCCTACCTGGATGATATCCAGGAATTGTCAGATGAAGAGGAGCTCGAGATTCAGGAAGAATAAGAGCATGCTTATCATTACCGGCATGAGGAGGCCATGGCATCAGGGGCAGTGGTGGCAGACCGGGTAATGGGACATTCAAGGGTTGTTGAGGGGTCGGTGAGGAAGGAGAGCAGCAGGAAGCAGCAGCGCAAAAGCAAAGAGGAGAGGATGGCCCGTATTAAGCAAGAGCAGGCAGAGGAGCTGAAGCATCTCAAGAATTTGAAGAAGAAAGAGATTGCAGAGAAGCTTGAGAGGATCCGAATGATTGCTGGGATTGAAGGGGATGCTGTTTGTAAGCTCGGTGCTGATGACTTGGAGGAGGATTTTGATCTAGAGGGTTATGACAAGAAAATGCAGGAGATGTTTGATGACAGTTACGAAAATGCAGGAGATGTTTGATGACAGTTACTATGAGGCTGATGATGTTGATCCTGAGTTTGGAAGTGGTGAGGAGATGGATTTGGGGAAGCCGGATTTTGACAAAGAAGACGAATTGCTTGGGCTTCCTAAGGGCTGGGCTAGTGACCAGTCAAAAGAAGAGTCTACTGCCACTGATGCGAAAGGTGCAAAAGGGCAGATCTCTCTCAAAGACAAGGTGGAGCTTGAGAAAGAGATGGAAGAGTACTGCAAGTTAGACTATGAGGACACTATTGGAGATATCAAGACTCGGTTCAAGTATAAACAGGTTAAGCCAAACAGTTTTGGTCTGAGTACCTATGAGATATTGGCATCAGATGACAAGGATTTGAACCAGTATGTTTCCATTAAGAAGCTAGCTCCTTACAGAGAGGATGAATGGAAGGTTACACATCATAAGAGGCAGAGCAAGGATTTGATCCTTGGGAAGAAGGACAAATCTGGCAAGAAATCTAGGTCTGAGGAAGGCGGCCCTAGTTCTTCAAAAACAGAGAAAGGCAGGCTGACAAATGGGCAAGAGTCAACAGATGACAAGAAAAAGACTACCAGAAGTGAACTAAGGAAGCGTCGTAAGACTGACCTAAAGATATCCGATGATCGATTAGCGGCATTTGGAAAGACAAATTCAAAGTGTCACAAGAGCCATTGACTTTTTGAGATTCATCAAAGTACATATGGGGAATTTTGCTGTTCCTTTTATGGGTATGGAGCAGTGAAAGTCTTAGGTTTAGGAGTCCTATTCTGGGAGATGCAAAATTAGTGTCGTCTTGGTAGAAATATCTGTTTCTTAGAGAGTTTTGCAGACACTGTGTTGTGCGCCTCCTTTCGTGAACCATATAATGTAATTGCCCTGCAATCGCTGGTACTCTGTTTTGTATTACTTTGCTTCTATTTTTCTTGTTTCTTTCGTGGAGGGTCCAATTATCATGGTGATGAATTATTGAATTGGCATATGATCTCATCTACCATTATTATCCTTATCTACCATCTACCATTCTCATATGCAATGTTGTGCAGGCTGCACATCTTGAAGTGATGCGAACTGTTAGCACCTCAAGCAGATCCGGTTATGATGCTGCCCTTAAAATCTACAGAGAAGCATCTGAATCACAGGAGAAATCGCGCATCTTAGGTTTGTGTACACTTTTTGATTTTCCAGCTAGGCAGCGACATAGTTTTTTGTTCCATCATGTGGGTTATCCTGAGAATAATGTTTCTTTGTTTCCAGGCTCCCTGTCTTCATCACCGGATCAGGATATTATTTTGGAGGCATTGAACTTTATGTTTACTGATGATGTTAACCTCTAAACCATTTCTATTTTTACATTCATTATATTGCAAAGTTGTTCCAAATACTACTGTCTTCAAGTCTGCACCATGACTTTAAAAGCCAGCAGTGGCGAAGTTAGAGCTGAAATGAGGGGGTGCATCACTTCAGTAGTACATAACCTTGATGTACAAATATTTACATGGTAAAATTTGTTTTTAATAAGAGTCAAATGCATCAACAGTCTCTGAACTTGTCAAGGGCTGCCACATAGGTTCAAATGGTGCACAACACATCCCTAAACTTGTAAAATGGTGCACCGCAGGTCCATTTTTGGACTATACCGACTATTGTGGTGTATCACTTAACAAGGTTAGGGACCTAGAAATATGTTTTCAAAATTCGTGGACCTAAGTGACATCCTTTGACAAGGTCAAGTTTAGAGGCCACTCAAAGCATTTATCTTTTTTCAAAGTGCGACCCATGTGATATCCATTGAAATGTGTGTAGAGTTTGTGTATAGAAAAATAGATGTTGTCAATTATTTTGCCACATAATTAGATGACATTAGCAATTCAAATGGCATATTACCATGGCCAACCCATTTAAATCCTAAACTTTTATTGAACTGTATAGTTTGACAAATCAAGGCCATAAAACTGTAACACCCCATCGCATTAGTAGCCTTTAGGGCAGTCCCAATGAAAGAAACTAGTAGTTTCTATAACATAGGATACCGCACCAAAAAAGTACTGCTTTCCAACCTATGATTTCTATGAGTAATAATTATTTTCTCTTTCTCTCTCCCAACTCTATCTTCTTCATCCAATGGGAGCGCGACACGAGCTCCTTAGAAACTAGTGGTTTCTCCCCAATGGCGATTTCATGGTTTCTTGGTGCATTGGGTCAAGAGTAGACCTGATTTCTTCATGAAGAAACCATTTCTATGATTTTTGCTCTCTTTCTTCATTAATTACGTTGCCATGTCAGCATTTTGCCTACGTGGCAAGTCATTTAATGAGGATAGAAACCATCATCAATGCACCATTGGGACTGCCCTTAGTAGTTGGTAGTTGTGAAGTTGGCCCATGTGGCACATGTGTGGTTTTGGTTGGTAGGTTTAGTAGCACCCTTTTTTAGCTATCTTTTTTAGCTCTGATAATAATTAGTCTTAGCCGGTCCAAATAAACCTTACCGTTCTTATGTGTACTTGGTATCGAGTCTACCTATACCTCGACTGGAAAAAAATTCCACGATACAAATCTGAATACCAATTTATATCTATTCCTAGGATAGAGATAATCTCCAAACAAGCAATAATTACTTGTTTGGCATTGGTGGACTCGAGCTTTCAGGCTTTCATGTTGGCTCGTGGGGGGTGCATGATCCTTCATTGAGGGGGGTGCACATGTGGTGAATGTGAGATGGTTAGTATTAAATTTCATTTTTGTTGTGGGTGCATTTGCACCCACTAATGGATACTTAGCTTCGCCCCAGAAAGCCAGTGACCATTATGGTCCAGCCACCAGCTTACACAGGTTCGGCCCATGTTCACACAAAACAGTAAAGTAATTGTTTTGAGTATTATAGAGAAGGAATAAAATTGAGGATTGTTATGCTACACAAACCAGGCAACCTATACCTATTATTGCTCAATTGGTTATCAAGTGGTTGGAGCTCCTTCAATTGTCTCCTACACTTCTCCAGTTCGGTTCCCACTTTCTCCCATGCACTGTAAGTATAAACGACAGTTTAAGGCATAGGCGGACCCACCCATAGGGCAAGGTGGGGCGGCCGCCCTACCTCCCCCCGGGCGGGACCCCAATCCCCGGAGCCGGAGATGGCAAGTGCGACGACCGGCAGATGGCAGACGCGGCGACTGCGAGGCTGTTGCGATTCCGAGGTTGAACTGTTGAAGAAGACGGTCGAGTGGAGTTTTTGCGGGGTGCTGCTGCATTGGTGGAGTGGTGGGCCTTTTTGGACTAGCCTGTCTGCACTGGCCCATCGAGAGGAGAGGCTTGCTCATTAGTCAATTCCAGATAATTTAGTAGTATATTTAAAGAGCTTGTATAGTACCAATTCGTAGAGTGGCTTGGCCCCTAGTACATATATGGACCTTGGTGATTAAAGCCTATCCTTTTGTGGTTTTCATATATGAAAAATAATCATTTTGAATCCTTGTCTTTATCATCCATTTGTCGAATTCCTAGTTAGGATAGAATTGTTGTGTGATACCGATACAAATATGATATACTCCCTCTGTCCCAAAAAGAATGCAATTCTCGCTTCTTGAGGAGTCAATCGATTTCAACTTTGACCAAAATTAAATAAAAAAGTACTAACATTTATAATACAAAATAAGTATCAATAGATCAATGATGAAATATATTTTCATCATAAATCTTGTTTGAGACATAAATGTTAATACTAATCGCTATAAATTTAGTCAAACTTTATTAGCAAATTTAATCGGCACAAATCTTATAGTTGCGTTCTTTTAGGACAGATGGAGTACATCTGTGGTTCAACTGAAATATCGAGTTAAGTTAGGCATATATGCCTAATGGTCCGCCCTGCCTGAAATTTCCGGCTGGGTCCGCAACTTTAAGGAACCCGATTTTAGCAGTTCCATTGCATGAACTCATTTTTAGTCTGACCTGACTAGGCGAGGCACTTATTATAGTTATGAAAGTGTTGTGAACTGTGGTATATTGCTAGCCCTTGGAAAAAGATTTAGCTACCTAATTCTAAAATGGAAACAATAGTCATAATTTGGATATATTGGGACTTGGATCACATTGTGATCTTAAATGTTTTTTCTGTGTTTGCTTCTTTCCCAGTCGAAAAAGTATTCTGTTCTATGCGGTTCACAAGGTCACATAATTGCTCTTGTCCTCTTCTTTTTATTTTTATTTCGCGACCGGGTGTGTTCCCGTTTTTTATTAAGAGGAAGAGAATTTAAACCGTACACAACCGAGCGCGGGGCCGTTGATTTGGCGAGCGGCCTCAAGCAACGTCCAACTAAAAGTCCTACCTGACCATTGGATCCAAGGTTTGTGATTACATGCCAAGGAATTTTGCCACCAATACAGATGAAGCGCGGCCAGAGGCGCGAAGCCCGCCAGCGCCCAGCCTTCGCCTTCCTTGATCGCCGCTCTGACGACATCGATCACCGAAGATGGCCCTCTACCAAAGACTCGACAATTTCTTTCCTTCCAGATTGTCCAAGCGACAAGGAGCAGCAACGAGTTGAACAGGGGCTTGGACGCCAGGTCGATCCACCCCCTCTGTTGTATCCACCACTCGTTGAGTTCCTGTATGTCGTCCGACAATAGGGCCAGCAGATGTATGGGCTCCAACAGCGCGTGCCAGACTTGTCTGGAGAAGACGCATCCGAGGAACAAGTGGCATGCTGTTTCGGGTGCCTGATCACATAGAGCACATGTGTCGTCGTCTTGAAGGCCATGCCGCTTGCGACGGTCGGCGGTGTAGGGCGAGCTAGAAGAAGAGCTTTACCCGTGGCGGCGCCTTGGTACGCCAAAGCTCTTTGGCTCCCAGGAGCCTGGTTGATCCTGCAAAGAAAGCCCGGTATGTCGAGGAGACCGAGTACGCCCCAGAGGAAGACCATCTCCACACAAAACGATCCGGTTGCAGCGGCTGCAAGTTCACCGATTGCAGGAGCTCCCAGACTCGAGGTAATCACATAGGACTTGCGTCGTCGTGGCTCTTGTGATGTCCCTCGCCCATCGGTTGTTCTGGAGGGCGTCGCGCAGCAACCGTTTTCGCCCCGAATGTGATATAGCAGCGAAGAGGGCTGGGGCGAAGAGGTGTAGGGGCCCCACCGATGACCAGTTGTCTGTCCAGAGTCTTGTGGACGCGCCATCGCCCACGGTGACTGTCATGCTCGTGGCGCTCATAGCGGCGACGCACCTTTCAGGTCGCGATGGCAAGCTCACTGTTGGTGCGAAAAGTGACCAACAAATAAATATTCGTAGTTTTGTCGTGCGTTATGATCGGATGTGGCCTAGCACTCAATAACACAGGATTTATACTGGTTCAGGCAACAGGCCCTACGTCTAATTGAGGTCGGTCGGTGACTTTATTCCTGAGCCCAGGTGCTCGAAGTTTGTTGTGGGGTTACAAACGAGTAAGGAATGAGAAATAGGGGTGTTAGAGGTCCGGTCGGACTCTGAACCGAGTGGAAGAGAGTGACAGATACTCAAACGTGTGCTAAGTATTGGAATATATGCTCTGTGTGTTCGAGCTTATCAGCTGTTGAGAGCATGTAGACTGTGTAGCTGTCGAGTCCTAGAGCTATTGAGCTGTCGAGTCGACCAGTCTTCGAGGGGGTGTTTTTAGGAGAGAGCTCATCCCCTTTTATAGTTGAAGGGGATGGCCTTACAAGTTAGAGAAAAAGAGAGAGAGTGTGTATACGTGTGCTGCCTAGTCTTGTTGCCCACACCATCGGATACGGGATGGCCGTCGGCACCCACAATATTGTTTTATATTCAGACACATCTGGCAGGCTCTACCATGTTCGCCTGGTACGGCAACGACGACGCCCACAATACTGTTTATACTCTGACGCGTCTGGCAGGCTCTACCGTGTTCGCCTGACATGCCCCGATGGCACTATCCTGCAGGTGCGTAGGGCATGGCCGAGTACAGTCCTCGGTATTGCGGTTGACTTAAGCGCCTTACCTTATCTGCTCCGCCTGCTCCCCGAGCCCACACCGAGCGGGCGTCCTCGGTCAGTCGTTCCCAGTCGGTCCCGACCGTGTCGGTCAGGAAAGAGCAACGAGCAGAGGTCCGACATATCCTCGGTCGGAGAAGGGGGTCAGAGTCGGACTGCGGTCCCACCTTGGCCAGCCCTTTCGGTCGGGGACCGGATCGTTGTCTCGGTCTGTCATTATGTATCTGGGCCGGCCCAGGCGCGTGATGTCGCTGCGCCGCCTACTGGGCCGGGTTTTGCAGGGAAGCGGGTCTATTGGGGACCTGGATTTATGAACCTGACAGGAGCCCCCGAGCCCTTTTGGGACTTCTGTAAAGCCATGAAGGGGTTGTTCACACACGTTTCACGTGATATTTATAAAAGCCAGGGCTTATGTTTTTAGCTTAATGAAAGCTTTAATTTGCTTTGTAATTCCTGTACCCATCGTGCCGTGGAGGTGGGCTATTATTAGAACTTCAGTGTTTTTCCCCCTCGGTTTGTTGTACTGCGTAGGGTAACCGAGTAAGATTTAGGTGCCCAGCCTCCATGTGGAGGACCGGCAAAAACCGCAGAGGCACACAGAGTGGATATGGGTGCCCAGCCTCCGTGGGGAGGACTGGCGAAGGCCGCGGAGGCGCGTCGGAGAGATATTGGCGCCCAGCCCCTGAGGAGAAGACTCGCTGGTAATCCATTTTCCATAGGGTGCACGCGAGCGCACCCGGTGGGTGTAAGGTAGTGGGTCGCCGTCGGACGAGACGGAACCCGCGTCCTTGGGGCCGGGCGAGACGGAGCCCACACCTGAGGAGTCGGGCGAGACGGAGCACGAACCCGAGGAGTTGGGCGACATGGAGCCCACGGCCTTGGGGTCGAGCGAGATGGAGTACGAACCCGAGGGGTCGGGCAAGACGGAGGTGGGCGTAGCCCCCGAGCTTGCGACCGGCTGGAGAGTCAGTCGAGGCTGAACACCTTGGTACTCTTTTCTGGGACTGCGAACTTTTGTGTTTCTTCCGGTCGGGATGTTCGCCCGTGTTCGTTCCGACCGCAACTTGTACGGTCGGTCGGGTTCCCAAGTAGGGACCTGGCAGCTCGAGCCCCCGAGCCAGTAGGGGTCGGTCGCATGATTTCCTACGTCACCCCATCCACGGTTTCCGGCGGAATCCGGCTGATTCCAACGCACCGGCAGCGCGGCTCTAGCTCGCAGCAGCTTACTTGCCGACCTGAATTGGGTGGCTAGTCAGCAACAGGCAACTGCTGGGAAAGAGCGCGCGCGCCCGCATTGCCTAGCAAGGGGCCGATCGAGCACGTATACTACTTTTAAATGAGAGTCCAGTTGATTGGTTGGGGCACTACAGAAAATGAAATTGAAGGAGATCCATGACCCGACCGTGACCGTACAGGCCCAGACCGGGTGGATCCATTCGTTCGGTATCCGGCGGGCCTCGATTCGTTTCCTTGTGGAGCGCGGCAGGCATGCAGGAGCTGAGGAGCCCGTGCACCGCCGAGACCGAGACCGAGACCGAGAGCAAGCAAGCGCGTGGTGTGTCCAGTAGGATTCCGAATCTTTGGTGGATCGAGGGAGTACCACGCGCCATCTCGTCGATCTGCATCAAAGCCGACCGGGAATTATTGTAGATGATTTTTGGATGACACTGGACACTAGTACAACGCAAACGATTCTTGGATGTGTGATCAAAATTATTTTTTAGGGCTAGATGATTTAGTATTAAAACCGTCTGATTATATATATATATATATCAGCATTCAGCAAGCCGACCTGATGAATGCGGCTGCAGCAAGTGGCAACTGCTGATGGTTGGTTGGTTGGTTGGACGTCGGAGGAAACGTGTATATAGTACTGAAAATGAGACCAAAAGAAGATATGAGTTTTGCCACGTACGTATGTACTACTACCACCTTGGATTGGAACGATCGACAGACGTGACAAATTAGGGTTCCCAAGTAAGCTGCCAGTTGATGCTGTGATAAATTAGGGTTCAGGGTGTTGGGTTAGGTTGTCACCAGGGCTCTGATGAAATCCATCGAGCTCTTAGATGAAATTTAGGTTTTTCATCCCTTGGAAATAAATCCGATGCGGCGGCAGTGAGCCAGTGACACACAGGGGGTGGAAATTTTGGACTGGTGGCATAGAACGGAAGACAACATTTTTGGTGGAAAGGAATCAACGATTTTGATAAGATTCAATGGTATAAAGGGAATTATCTCTCTTGGCCTCATGACAAACATAAAAAATTTCAAAGTTTACCCTATGTTAACCTGCCACAATCGGACCTCTAGTGATGCACTATGTTTTTTTATGGAGAAATATAAAATTAAAGTATAACAGTGACCTCCTCCACATTGCATCTATGTTTTTTTATTATTTCTATTTATGAATATATACTTCCTCTCTTGCTAAAACCAAGGATCTGGTATGATTGCAGCTAATCGAGTTTGGGAGGTTGACAAGATGTGGCACGCTAGGGAGGAAGGAATTGAGGTGGATGTTTTTAAGATGAATTTCAGATCTATTAATCGAGTTCGGGAGGTTGACAAGATGTGGCACGCTAGGGAGGAAGGAATTGAGGTGGATATTTTTAAGGTGAATTTCAGATCTATTAATCAGCATGTGCAGATGTACGAGTAAAGGGAGGAAGGGAACACCGAGTTCAGAGTCGGCAGAAGCCACTAATAAAGATCCGAGTCCTCAGACGATGAAGATGAATCAACTACACCTGAGCACAGGAACAACGGAGAAGAAACTAATGATGGGATGGGCACATAGTTCATGGCTGCCGAAGTAGGTGAAGCATAGCTCATGGCTGCTCTGCTGATGTAGGAGAAGCATAGTTCATGACTGCCAAGGTTGGAGAACAATGGATGCTTGATGAATAAAGAATGCGTGCAGAAAAAGGTTCTCTTTTTACGTTTAACTGAGGCTATGTTGCTCACTTGACTGAGAGACTTGTATACACTAGTACAGAAGTTAAATGTAGGGGCGACTCTAGAGTCTCTGTAGGGGTGGCTGCGTCAGTCGCCCTTCCCAGGGTGTTTCTACAGATGGTGCCTCTGTAGGGGTGGTTTCCTGACCGCCCCTGCAGTGCCCTCTGTAGGGGCGGCTGGTGTTTTCAGCCACCCCTACAGTGCCCTCTGTAGGAGTGGCTGGTAATATCAGCCGCCCTGTAGTGGACATATGTAAGGGCGGCTGTATCACCAGCCGCCCCTGCTGTGTGTATTTGTAAGGGCGGTTCAATCAAGAACCGTCCCTACAGTGGATTTTCCAAAAAAAATAATTCAAATTCAAATCTGACCACATATTTATATAATTCAAATTCGAATCTGATCGCCACAAATATACATATATACATCCACAAACACAAAACCATTATTTAGAACATCATCACAAATTGATAGTCAACTATCTTTAGGGAATGAGAAACAAGGTTCATATTCTTAAACAGAGACGACAATATGTAAGATAAGATAGCATGCTCCATAACACATCCTAACCAAGTACAAAATTCAGTCTCGGAAAATTGCTACCCAAACGATAATAGCAACATGGCAGGCAGATGTAGCACTTCTGGATCATCTCTAGGCATTTTCGCTACTTTGTCGCTCACTGCTCCTCCTCGATCACACCCTTGTCGCCGACATAGATATCGTCCAAGAACTTTCTGATATCCTTCTTCTTGACATGGCATTTCTATAGAGAAATGGAGAAAACTCGTTCAGCAACACAAATCATAGCACATCAATCCAAATCCACCAGTAGTAATGAGAATTATATAACAGCAATCAACAAAACTAGTAAATTCATGATGCGCTTCAAAGAGGAAAACAAAGATCAAAATAGAAGCAGGAACAATAGTTGACATAAGCATTGCACTAAAAAGTGACATACCATGTATAAAATATCACAATGTCAGCAACAGGTACAAAATTCATTGTCAGCATGCCTACTGACTAAGCACTATGGTTGCCTACTGACTGAAATGTTATAATTTTTCAGAAAAGAATGTAACTAGGTCCAAAATACTTCCTTTTGACTATAAATTTTGCTTTTATACACATAAGAACATTCCTTTTTCATAATAGTAGTGCATTCTTGTACAATATAAAAAGGCTGGAATTAGAAAGAAGCACAATTCTATAAAATTGTAAAGATTATCAGCACCTCTGTAGAGTCGTTTATTTGCAAACAAACATTTTAATAAGTCAAATCATAATATTCAGTATCTATTGCTCAGTGCTCTAGCACTCTGTAGAAGGGTCATCTAAAAAATTCAGTGCTGAAGCTGGATCTATGCATAACTAGATCTTTGAGTCTGCAATGATGCACCCAACCTGCAAAGAAAAGGTCAAAACATCGTTGGGTAGAGACGTTGTGGTGAGCAATGCAATATCATGGAGCCCTTGTATATGCTTTGTAAATTAAATATCTGGAATGCACTTGTATACTTTATTAAACACAGAACATTCAGATCCTGGTGCCCTGGTGACATGCGAGCGAGCTAGAATAGGGAGAGGAAAAGGGGAAGAAGATTGCGCAACTGGGAGGATGGCTGCCGGCCTGGCGCCCTGGCCGTGGTGCATACGTCTGTGAAGTTGTGATTAGATCAGATCGAAATACAGATTGCCAAATAGAATAATATAGGGTTCGTCCGGTGCTTGGCTTCGCACAGCAGGAAGGCCAGAGAAAGGGTGCTTACCTTAAACAATAACCATACCGCCAGGGGAGCTCGTGCTAAGGGGGATCTCGTGTTCCTGATCTCGTGTCGCTGCTTGGGGGAGCTATTGCGGCAGGTTCATCATCCCCTCTATTTGAGGGTAGTTGTGACAGCAAAAAAAAAATGGTGGTCACTGTTAAAAAGGATGGAAATGGAGATCTCTATCGGAGCAAGAGAAAAACATCTAACTCTGTCAATGGTAGACTTTCTTGAGAAAAGAAGAGAGGATCCGCTAAACCTGAGAACATGGTTTGCCACCACCACTGCCAGTGACGAATGGCCAAAAAAATCCTTGGCCGAAACTGGCTGCTTCAGCAGCAGCCTGCGCTCTGCAGCAAGGCAGCCTGCTAGTCAAAAAAAAAAAAAAATCGTGGAAGCATCAGGTGAGAAGACACGACACGAGCAACCAGAATCTCACCCCCTCACGTTCCTAAGCTAACGGTAGGCCTAGCTCCCTCGTCCATTTCTGACCTGCCGACAAGCGAAGCAAAGCCGACGCTTTCTTTCGGCTTGGCTCCACGCGACCTTTTCCGCGCACGACAGAACCAGAGGCGGCGGCGGCGTCCCGCTCATTTGCCGGTGAGCGGTCACCAACGAATCCATCGATCCATCCTGCTCGGCGTCTCCTATCGCCAGCGAGAGCTGTTAAATCGAGCTCAGCACGAAGATGCCGCCGCAAGAAAGTACGATTGTCCTGGCGCCGGATTTGGACTAGGTGGAGGGAGGGGTTGCGGTGCAAGTGCATCTTCTCCTTCCCGTTCTGCTGCCAAGATGTGTCACGCCCACGCGACAGCAACTCGACGCCAAAATGCGTTGGTGCTGCGATGTGGTGTGTGTAGGGTAAAGCTGGCCGAGAGACCATGTGTTCGATCGTCATTGCGAGATCTGCTGGATTCGTTGCAGTTGGAGGCGCCAGATTTGCACTGACTGCATTATTTCCTTCCCTGCAGTACCCGCAGTACCCAACCGTGTGCTCTCCCCATCAACACGTTCAAACGGCAACGTTTCCTTTCGAACGATTCGGCAGAGCACAACTGCAGAACGACAAGGTTTTTTTTAGCAGAAATGGCGAGAGTTCAGATTGTGCGCGATCCTGTTCGTTCCGTTTCGTTTCTTTCCTGTACAGGGAGAGGCAGCGCCTTACATTCCATCCCTCATTTTTCAGTTGCGGACTCTGACTGCTGTTTCGGTTTCACAGCGGTTCGTCGAGAAAATAAAAATTTTAAAAAAGGAAAGAAACTTGCTACTATTAAGAACAGGTTGCGTATATTAAGGAAAGCACAAATGTTCGGACCAAAGATCTACATGGAGAGACAGAGGGATCAGCTTCTCGACTGAAACCAGGTAAAAGCATCATTTTTTTTTCAAAGCACAAGAAAACAAACTCTGGGCTCTCTTTCATGATCCCGTAATCTTGAGCGGCTTTGACCGACCTTTCGTATGTTTGTTTTATTGCATCCCTCTTCAATCCAACAGAAAAAAGAGAGAAATCAGAAGGCATCACAACTGGGAAGCAGAAGGGGGAAAATGCCAATGGCAGCAGTCAGGAGCATCTGGGTTTACTTGAATTTTATTCTCAAAATCCTCCACTGACAACAGCATCAAATTGAACTCTGGATTCAATTCAAGCTCTAAGTCTCAAGCTCTCTCTCTCTCTCTCTCTCTCTCTCTCTATATATATATATATATATATATATATATATATATACACACACACACGTACTATTCTGTAGCTGGCCACACAATAAGTTATTCTGTGGCCACTTTAAGTTACGATAATTACTATACTAATTTACGAAATTATGGTAACTCTCTTATAAGTGATTTACTATAACATTATGGTAAGTGACATCTTAAATTATAGTAACTCATGTATCGTAAATGTTTGAATTATATATATATATATATATATATATATAAGGATTTCATTCTATAAATACTTGTCATCAAAGTTGTGTCAAGTCTAGGTGTTCAGTTGAAAAGTGTAGTGATGATAGACAAGAAAAATGGTGCTACAAAATTATTCTACTATCATCTGACATGTGAATGGATTTATGGAACTGTACAAATAAAGTCAGTTTCTGTAAGAACATACCAAACAATAAATTTAAAAAACGGAACACTCTATGCGGCCACATGGTCAGGAAAACTGGAAAATGTATAGTATATTGCACATGCTAACACTACGGCGATATCTGGTAATACAAATTAAACAACAAAAAATATTTCAATTTGATAAAAATGGAATGGACATATCTGTTACAAAGGTTACCTGCTATTATTCTTAGCCCCATGGACTCAAGACACGAATCACAAAACAAAGCAAATTTCCCACCGCGGAGTGTGCAAGATAAAGCAATTAAGCAAGCTGAGCAATGTATGGATGAGGGGAGGAATAACAAACTTTTGCAGGCTTTGCATCTGAATGTTCTCTTCTGAGGTGCTAGGCCTTTTGCCTTATGTATTGCAGACCGCAACATGTCTAATGTAGCATTTGTCCATGTCCTCAATACATCATGCAGACTATTTCCATTTTTCAGCAAAAAGTAGTCGGATGGGTGCTTTTTGGTACTCCCAGCATGTACCTCAAAGTAGTAAGGTGAAACAACCTGCAACTCATGTTACATTGGTTCAATCCTCAAAGCTCGGATAAATAGGTGGTGATTTTGAAGAAGAAGAGAAAACTCACTTTTCGGCTTTTGCATGAAGAGCATGAGCACGGTATGCCGATGGCTTTGATAACTCACCAGAGTACTACTCGGTGAAATAAGATGAGAAATAGACCCCTGGTCAAAATTACAGTAACCACGATACTAACCACAGAATAAGACATGGAAAATGCAAGTGCATGGTATGATATCTTGGCCTCCAAAACAGCAAATAGGAGATCACATCTCACGTTCACCATAATGCGTCATGTTTTTCTTTTTTTTTGTGCCGAAAAGATAATACAGGTGCAGTAGGCCATGCTCATGTCACAGAGGTGCCGAAAAGACAATACAAGTGCACCGTAGGCTCAATTGGGCTCATGGAAATGAACAGAATGGAAAGAATTAAAAGGGCATGCCAAGGTTGGAGAACAATGGATGCTTGATGAATAAAGAATGCGTGCAGAAAAAGGTTCTCTTTTTGCGTTTAACTGAGGCTATGTTCCTCACTTGACTGAGAGACTTGTATAGTTGTATTATTCCAAAGACTCGACAATATTCAATTTTTTAAAAAAAAGAAGAATTCATGTTCAGTTTATTTATTGGCTATAGCTGTCGACTTTCACGATGTTTTCAAGTTTTGACATTGCCACTGTCAGGGTGCGTTGCCGAAGATGTCGAGACATGTTTTTCCTTCTATACTGTTCTTTCCATCATTCTTGTTATTTTTTTCTCTCTTGTTCTGCTTTGCACACAACAACAATGGTACCACAGGACATATGTACATGTTGGATTTCTGTTGATTTGATCACCTTGAAGGGTACTGTGGCCACCCAATGGATATGACAATACCAGTTCAAAAGTAAGAAAAAAAACACTTTAATTCCACGAATTTGAGTTTTGTGAACTGTTTTCCTCGGCATCAATGGCGAAGCTGGACGAGGAGTCAGAGGAGTTGCACCAGAAGTTACTGGAGAAGGACATCATCGACCTGCTGACCTTTGCGCGGAAGTTCAAGAAGCTCCGCGCGTCTTACCACAAGCAGGCACTGCTCCATCTCGCCGGCCAGACATCACTCCGCTGATATCCGGCCAGACATTGTTGCCAACTTTGTATATACCTGCTCTCTCATTCTTGTTCTACACTCTGCTTGGCCCTGTTCTCTGAATGCAGCTTCTTCTTGTAGTTGTATGAGGGGCTTGCCAAAGATCAACCGGAGATCGCATGTATATATGTCTTGCAAAACGTCTTACCTTTGGCTGTCCTGGTGTTTACCTGCCGAGTGACCAAAGTTGGATTCATTTGCGGTAATCAAACCGTTGCCTAATAATTTTTTTATCATAAAAATTTCTTATGCTCAATGGTTAGTGGATACATGTCAGTTCATTGTTCTGACCAAAGCCTTGCATACTATTAAAAAGGTTTTGCAGATCACCAATATGGCAATATGGTAGTTGAGAAAAGAGGGAGCTATTGCGGCAGGTTCATCATCCCCTCTATTTGAGGGTAGTTGTGACAGCAAAAAAAAAATGGTGGTCACTATTAAAAAGGATGGAAATGGAGATCTCTATCGGAGCAAGAGGAAAACATCTAACTCTGTCAATGGTAGACTTTCTTGAGAAAAGAAGAGAGGGTCCGCTAAACCTGAGAACATGGTTTGCCACCACCACTGCCAGTGACGAATGGCCAAATAAATCCTTGGCCGAAACTGGCTGCTTGAGCAGCAGCCTGCGCTCTGCAGCAAGGCAGCCTGCTAGTCAAAAAAAAATCGTGGAGGCATCAGGTGAGAAGACACGACACGAGCAACCAGAGTCTCACCCCCTCACGTTCCTAAGCTAACGGTAGGCCTTGTCCATTTCTGACCTGCCGACAAGCGAAGCAAAGCAAAGCAAAACCCAGCCCAACCCGACGCTTTCTTTCGGCTTGGCTCCACGCGACCTTTTCCGCGCACGACAGAACCAGAGGCGGCGGCGGCGTCCCGTTCATTTGCCGGTGAGCGGTCACCAACGAATCCATCGATCCATCCTGCTCGACGTCTCCTATCGCCAGCGAGAGCTGTTAAATCGAGCTCAGCACGAAGATGCCGCCGCGTCGAGTCTGTTCGATAAGCTCAACTGAGGCTGAGGTGGAGGGAGGGGTTGCGGCGCAAGTGCATCTTCTCCTTCCCGTTCTGCTGCCAAGATGTGTCACGCCCACGCGACAGCAACTCGACGCCAAAATGCGTTGGTGCTGCGACGTGGTGTGTGTAGGGTAAAGCTGGCCGAGAGACCATGTGTTCGATCGTCAACTTGCGAGATCTGGTGGATTCGTTGCAGTTGGAGGCGACAGATTTGCACTGACTGCATTATTTCCTTCCCTGCAGTACCCGCAGTACCCAACCGTGTGCTCTCCCCATCAACACGTTCAAACGGCAACGTTTCCTTTCGAACGATTCGGAAGAGCACAACTGCAGAACGACAAGGTTTTTTTTAGCAGAAATGGCGAGAGTTCAGATTGTGCGCGATCCTGTTCGTTCCGTTTCGTTTCTTTCCTGTACAGGGAGAGGCAGCGCCTTACATTCCATCTCTCATTTTTCAGTTGCGGACTCTGACTGCTGTTTCGGTTTCACAGCGGTTCGTCGAGAAAATAAAAATTTTAAAAAAGGAAAGAAACTTGCTACTATTAAGAACAGGTTGCGTTCGTCCTAGATTGATTGATGATTTGGGAGCACCGGAGCATCGATGCGAGCGCGGGGCTACTGCATCCGGCCGACTCGCTCGGCGGCGGCGCGCATGACGCCCTCCACCAGCTGCGGCATGCAGAGGTCGGCGCCGCCCGCGGCGCCGCACCCGGCGCGCACGCCCACGCTCGACATGTACCGCTGCACCTCCGTGCGGATCAGCTCCTGCATCGCCTCCATGAACTCGGGGCTGAACGGGTACGCCGAGGGCGCGGGTGGTGCCGCCGCCGCCGCCGGAGGAGGAGGCGGCGGGGAGGGCGAGGGCGGCGACGCCGGGAGCTCCTGGAACTGGCTGTGGGCGCGGTCGTGGTGGAACCGCTGGTGGTCCGTGCCCGGGAGCGAGAGGCTGAGGGAGGTGAGCGGGTCGTCGTCCACCCGCGGACGGCTCATCGCGCAGTCCGCCGGCTCGAACCCGCCGGACCGCGCCACCGGGCGGTAAATCTGCCCGGACCCGGAGCCGTGGCTGAGATCGCTACGGTCGGACCTCGAACCCGACCCCGACCCGGACCCCGACGGGCTGTCGGGCGAGAGGCTGACGCGCTTGCTCGGGCGCGCCGCCTCGATCTCGGGGGCGGCGGCGGCAGCGGAGACCACTCCCGACCCGGACACGGCGGCGGCGGCGAGCTTGCGCTTGAGGGAGCAGTTCCAGTGGTTCTTGACGGCGTTATCGGTGCGGCCGGGGAGGAGGCGCGCGATGGCGGCCCAGCGGTTGCCGAGCTGCGCGTGGGCGCGGACGATGGCGGCGTCCTCCTCGGGCGTGAAGGGCCGGCGCTCCACCTGCGGCGACAGCTGGTTGCACCACCGCAGGCGGCACGACTTGCCCGACCGCCCCGGGATCTCGCGCCCGATCGCCGTCCAGTTGCGCGCGCCGTGCCTCTCCACCAGCCGCCGCAGCGCGTCGTCCTCCTCGGGGCTCCACGGGCCCCTGATCCTGTCGCACTCCGCCACGGCGCCCATCTCCGGTAGTCCGGGTCCGATCCGATCACCCGCCCCGACGGACGGACGAAGAAGAAAAAAACACGACGACTTGTCGCGGACGACGGACGAGTGGTTGGTTGGTTGGTTAGCGGCGGAGCGAAAAGGCGTTTGGTTCCTTGCGGTTTCTGTCTCGCGAGCAGTGGTAGTGGAGGCGGTGGTGGTAGTGGAGAAGACGAGACGAGACGGAAGAAGGGGGGGGGGGGGAAGGAGTTTGGTTGGAGCAATAGTGACGTGGGGAGCGGCGGGTATTTATAGCGGCGCGGCGGCCGGTGACCTGACCGGCAATACAGCTGGCCCTGGCATGAAAACGGATCGCACACAGACGGCTGATATTTTTGGATAGGATACATTGGACGTCCACGTTATAAAGCTGTTCTGCGTTGAGCGAAAAAATATGTAGATTATATCTGATAAATCGGCTGATAAATTTAAATGAATATATCTTAAATATACGATTTGAGTATTCAGATATGGATACGATACCAAATATTGAATATCTCATCTTGGATACGGACAAATTAAACCATTCTAAACGGATTCGGTCCCAAATACCGTGGCGGTACCGTTTTCATCTAGCTGCCACCCGACGCACGCGTCGCGAGCCCCGGAGCCACCTCACGCGGCCGTACCCGCCCGCCCTTGTCGTTTTCTCCAGCCGTATGGCATGTGGGGGCCGAATGTCCGTGGGCCCGCGGTCAGTGAGGGTTCGGCGGTTTGGCCCCCCGGTGGTGGTTCTGGGAGTGAGTGGGGGCGGTTCGTTCGCCCCGGTGGATTCAAAATTTGAACCGTGTCTCCTGCTCTCTCTCTCTCTCGTAGGAGTACGTGGGGGAGTGGGAAACGGCCGGTTGGCTGGTGGTGCCGTTGCGACTTGCGGGGTCGTGATGGGTAACGGCCAACGGACGGGTTGGGACTGGAAGTGGAAGGTGAAATGGAACAGTGAGCCCGGTAATTCCGGTAATCTAACGGCGTCTGCTCATCGACTGGATCGCTTTCCAGTTGCTCACTCCACTCGCGCACAGTACTCTACCGATGCGTGCACGGAGCCAGCTGTTTCTCTCGGACGCCATAAAATTCGTGGCGACCATCGATCAAGCTTTGCCGTTTCGTCGTTTTGTGTCACACCACGACATGGCGTGGAAGAAGTACTAGTGGTGGAGTGGACTGAGTGGAAAGCCGCGCCGTGGAGTCGTGGCGGTAGTACGCGCCGTGGAACCGACACGGGACGCAACGCATGATGGGTGGAGGAAGGGGCAAGCAGCGGCGGTGACGCGACCCGTGCCCACCAGCCCGCCGCCTGTGCTTATCCGTCCGTCCCTCCACGGTCCACGGATCCACCCAGCCGCACCCGCACAGCAGCACCGAACGGTCCATCATCCATCCACCCCCCTGCGGCACGCATCGCCGGTTGAGCGCGACCACCACCTCACGTGGGCCCCCGCCCCGACGACCGCGCACCGTACAGGCGTGTACCGCCCGGTACGTACTACCCGACCTGGGGCCTGTCCTTTCCTTGCCGCTGCTTATGACCAGGAGAAGGCAGTTTATGGCTTTGCGGTCGTGGGCGTTGGGCCTTGGGCGCGGGTGTGACCTCGCTGCGCCACGTACGTACGTGCTCCGATCTCCCCGGCGACCGTGACGCCCGCCCGTCTGTCTGTCCTCTTTCCGGCCGTCCGTCGCCGCCCGGCCACAGGAACGGCGCCGCTGCTTGGCCGTGGACCGTGACACCACGGTTGCTCACAGTAACTGAAAGCAACGGCGCTGTGGACTGCAGACAAGCGAAAGACCCTACTAGCTAAACTAGGGAGAGGAGGAATCGGAGTCCTCGACTCTCGCTTTCAGCTGCGCGATCAGCAGCAGGGTTCACACTGGGTATCCGTGGCTGACGTGCGGGCCAGGGAGAGGAAACCTGACGAGGGGAGGGTCCGAGTGGGGTGATGACTGATGAGTCACCAAGGGCGGTCAGAGACCGGACGTGGATGCGCGGCACCCGATGCGCGGCCAGGCTGGCGGGGCATTGAACGGCCCCCCACCCCACCGACAGGAGCCGGTACCCCGTACCACTCCACCCGCGCGCGAGAGTTGCGGCTGCAGCTGCCAGCCAACTACCACTACCACGGTACCACCCCGGTTGCGCACTTCCGGCCAGCGGCCAGCCTGCCAGACAGGACACGGGACACCTCACCACACCACCGCCGCGACGCGCGCCCCGGGGCCGCCAGAGGTAGGAGTAGGCGGTTGGCGCACGCGGCGGGCAGCTTCCTGGGACGGGACTGGATTTGTTTAACGCCTGCCGAGGCCGCGACGAGCCGACGAGATCTTTGCGTCGCGCGCGCATGTGAGATGTGCTGCCCGGGCGGTTTTGGTCTTCATGTGCTTTGGTGATTTGATTAAGCCACAAGGAAAGGAAGGGTTCCCCATGCCCCGCTGACACAGCCCTAATCGCGCTGTCATGCGGGATGATGATGATCTGCGATCGCACCCCACCCGTGCAGTTCTGCCTGCCTGCCCTGCGCATAGGCATAGGATATTTGTCCCGCACGGGGCACGAGGCGGCAGGTGACGTCAGTGGTCCTGTGGGGCGGATCCTGCACGGCTGCACCACCTATACAAACGCCACCTTTTTGGTTCGGTCCAAACCAAACGCCCTATTTTTTCTTTCAATAAATTTGGTTTCAAAACCAACCTGTGCAGTGTGCGCCTGTGTGCGTTGTGCCCGGCGGCGATTAAAATAGCGTCGAATTCGTTCGGGGACGAACGGAAAGTTGGAAACTACTGTACTCCAGTTCTCTTGTTTGTCCTAGAAAGGAGGATTTGTGTTGGTGAAGCCGCGGAATGGACTCGCCGATCTTACGGACGTGAGCTTTGTACTGTATTATAATATAATATAAAATAATACATATTCACGGGTGGCAGCTGTGTGTGGTCGTACAATGGTTTGTTAGATCTGAGGTTAGGTAAGCGCCGAGCCTACTCGCGATTCGTGCGTGGGGTTAGCCGTTCGTCGCCAGAAAAATAAACAACTTGCAAAGGCAGGCGACTTCTCCAGTCGAGTTCGCTTTTGGAAAAGAGAAGAAAAAGCTGGGGAGGGGAACGGCAGCATGTTCGGTTGGCTGGCTCGTTTTATTACTTGTTCGTGAAGAAATATTATAAATTAATTTGTGTGAGAGAAAAATACTATTCTGATTAAAAATTTATGATCGTTTAGCCATACCCTAACGAACAGGCTGAGATCGAGCAGGCCACGTAGCCGCGTGCGGAAGAGAATGAGTTCCAGCCTCCAGACCACCGGAATCCAGATTGCGCTGCGGTCTGCTCACGGGGCACGGGGCACGGGGCACGGGCACGGGCTGCCAGCTCACTCCGGACGTTTTTTTTGTGTGTGTGTGGCCGTTAGCCCCCGTTCTACTAGTACGGACGATAGGACATGGGCCACCGTTTCGTTTGGGCGAAGCTTTTGTGTGGCCGACCGGCCGTTAGTCCGTGCAGAGACGGACTTTTCGACGTCCGCGGGCGGGTGTTGGGCCTTGAGTAGCGATGCAGGCCCTGCTCGTGTGAAGTTACGAGCAATACCGTTTTAATAAAATAATATTAATTTTTTCTTATAACAAATCAGCATCATCATCGTCAGCCTCGGCCGTTTTTTTAGCAGTCGAACATGTCAGCAGTCTGCTACAACCGGCTTCTTTGCGGGCGGCGTCCGAATGTCCGATCCGGATGAGTAGCCCTGTCCCGGCCTCCTAACCTAGGTAAACAAATTTGTGGGGTTCTCTTCGCAGGCCGCGAGTCCATGGGCTTCCTCTTAATACGAGTACAAGCCCAACTGCACTGAGCGTGTTCATGTTCCTGCTGGGCGCTGCTGCTTATGGATGAAAACGGTACGGATATTTATTCGACCGTCCGTTCGACCGAACAAATATGAACACTTATCTGGATAGTTACTCGGATATCCGTAATTTTTTTCGGATACGGATACTAAAACGAATATCTTAGGCGGATATCAAATACGGATGTAATATCATTGATATCCGGCGGATATCGGATAATCCGGTTAAGTATCGGATATATCCGGATATTTAAAAACGGATATTATCCGGATATTATTCAAACGACCTTGGATGAAGAAATTATCAAAATAAAAATTGTAGATCTCAAAAAGTTATGAAACTTTGTTGTTTACAACTTTTTCGTTTGAAATCATTTAGTGCTTCAAAATTTAAACCGTCCAAACTTTCTCAAATGGAAACTAGTTTATAGGCGTCAAAATTTAAAAATCACAAATTTGAACCATCCAACCTATCTCAACTGAAAGTTGACCAAAACAACAATTGTAGATCTTGATGAGTTGAACAAACTTGGTATTCAGAACTTTTCAATTTGAAGTAATTTAGAGTTCATAATACTAGAGTCAAAGTGTTGTTTTTTCATTTGACCAAATTTGACTTAGTCAAACTTGCTCAAATGAGACACTAAATGACCTCAGATGAAAAAACTCTGAATACCAAGTTTTATCGTCTCAGCAAGATATACAATTGTTACATAGCTCATTTTACCATTTGAGAAAGTTTTATCAAACACTAGTCACAAATTCTTGAATCTCATATAGACTTTCTGAAACTATGTCACACACTTGTGAAATTTGAACTACATTTTGTTCAAACTTTCTCAAATGAAAAAATAGCCTATATAAATATTGTAGATCTTGATGAGCTGAACAAACTTGGTATTCAAAACTTTTCAATTTGAGACAATCTAGGGTTCCGAAAACTAGTTTGTAAGCATCGAAATTTAAAAATCACAAATTTGAACCGTCCAAACTATCTCAAATGGAAAGTTGACCAAAACAACAATTGTATATCTTGATGATTTGAACAAACTTGGTATTCAAAACTTTTCAATTTGAAGTCATTTAGAGTTTATAATACTAGAGTCAAAGTGTTGTTTTTTCATTTGACCAAATTTGACTTGGTCAAACTTGCTCA